CAGAGCCTCAAGCCATCCCCCTGGGTAGAGTGCCATAGCATCACAGCTCACAGCAACCTCCAACTCCTGGGCTCAAGTGAATCTCCTGCCTCAGCTTCCCAAGTAGCTGGGACCACAGGTGCCCATCACAACCTGGCTATTTTTTTGGTTGCAGCTGTCATTGTTGTTTGGCGGGCTCAAGCTGGATTCGAACCCGCCACCTTAGGTGTATGTGGCTGGCACCTTAGCCACTTGAGCCACAGGTGCCGAACTGTACCCTCGTTTCTTATACCCTCAACAAATCTCCAACAATAAAAAAAAAATTAAAAAAAAAAGAAATAGATCCATAGTCAATTTAGGTGTTGAAATTAGCAAATAAAGAGCTGAAAATATTTATGACAAATGTATTAAAGAATCAACTGAAATTGATATAATGGGTGATGACAGAGAATTTTAGGAGAGATATGTAAATCGTAAAAGGATCAAATAGAAATCCTGGAAATAAAAATGATAATATTGGAAATAAAAAAACTCATTAGATGGAATTAACAGAAGATTAAAAACAATTGAAGAAATTATTAATCAACTTGAAGAGGGGTTAATGGAATAACTGAAACTAAAGCATGAAAAAAAAAATTTTAGGCTCAGTGCCCGAAGCACAGTGGTTACGGCGCAGGCCACATGCACCACGGCTGGTGGGTTTGAACCCAGCCTGGGCCAGCTGGACAACAATGATAACTGCAACAAAAAAATAGTCGGGTGTTGTGACAGGCACCTGTAGTCCCAGCCACTTGGGAGGCTGAGGCAAGAGAATCACTTAAGCCTAAGAGTTGGAGGTTGCTGTGAGCTGTGATGTTGTAGCACTCTACTGAGGGTGACACAGTGAGACTCTGTCTTAAAAAAAAAAAAAAAGGATTTTAAAGAAGTCAGAGCTTCAATGACTTATAGGAGAATATCATGTATAAATGGAGTTCTAGAAGGAGAGAGAAGAAAGCAGGAAAAGAAAAAATGTTTGGTAAAATACCAACCAATTATTTTTTAAAAATAGGAGTTTAAAATAAAACAAAACCTCTGGATTAGCCTGGCATGTAAGGAGCTTAGAGGATGCCACTCAATCCAAACAAGTAAAAAGCTGAAAAAAACTGAAAAAATCAACAACTCTTCTTAGATTTACTGAAGAAGTGAGACCACAGGCAAGCAACTTTCCCCAAATCTAGAGAGACATATGGGCAAATACAGAGAATTACAACTTACCAAAACAGAAACCTCCACAGGAACCAGTGCTGGGGAAGCAAACTCTAAACTCTAATTGACAAATTTCTGGAGGCTCCGTGTAGACAAGTCTGATAGTTAAAAACTCCAAGGAGAGCCCACCACTTCCTTTTATAAATTTTGCCTCAAAGAGCTCTAGCAGTTCCTCCTAGCAAAGCAGAGAAAAATGCCCTCATCCTTCCAGCAGGGAAAGGAAAAAAAGCAACCATTTTGAAAATATGCCGGAGAGTTATGTTCTTAACAAGGTCTGCTCTTGAGAGAAACTATTTTATCAGAGCCTAATCAAACTGGAGAAAGGGAAATGTTAATTTTAGCTCTCTCTAGCTTTCCACATAAGGAAGAGAAATAGCAGTACCAGGTTATGAGTGAGACAGGTTCTATGGATTTGTTCTTTTTTTTTTTTTGAGACACAGTCTCAAGCTGTTGCCCTGGGTAGAGTGCTGTTGCATCACTGCTCACAGCAACCTCAAACTCTTGGGCTTAAGTGATCCTCTTGCCTCAGCCTCCCAAGTAGGTGGGACTTATAGGTTTGTTCTTAAGTTGAATTTGTTAGAGTATGTTGAAAAAGAGAAAATGAAATCATACAAAATACATAAAACCACAAAAGGAATAAAAAGTGTTGAAAAGAAAAATATATAAAATAGCAACAAATATAGCAAATATGAATCAAACTATATCAGCAATTACTTTACATGTCAATGGTCTAATGTATCAATTAAAATATGAGATTGTCAAGGCCGGGTGTGGTGGCTTATGCCTGTAATCCTAGCACTTGGGAGGATGAGGTGAGGATTGCCTAAGCTCATGGGTTCCAGAGTAGCCTGAGGCAGAGCAAGAACTTGTTTCTAAAAATAGCTGGGCATTGTAGCAGGTGCCTGTAGTCCCAGTTACTTGGGAGGCTGAGGCAAGACAATTGCTTGAGCCCAAGATTTTGAGGTTGCTGTGAGCTATGACACCACAGCACTCTACCAAGGGCAACAAAGTGAAACTCTGTCTCAAAAAAAAGATTGTCAGAATGGACCAAAAAAGCAAGACCTAGCTATATGTTGCCTACGAGAAACCAACTGCTATAGTTTAGATGTGGTTTGTTTGTCTCTATAAAATCTCATATGGAAATTTGATCTCCAGTGTGGTAGTGTTGGGAGGTAGAACTTAATGAGAGGTGTCTGGGTCACATGGGAGGATCTCTCATGACTACGTTAATGCCTTGTCTCAGGAGTGAATGAGTGAGTTCTTACTCTATTAGTTCCTGAGAAAGTTGATTGTTAAAAAGGGCCTGCTGGCCAGGCACATTGGCTCATGCCTATGAGTCTAGCACTCTGGGAGGCCAAAGTGGGAGAACACTTGAGCTCAGGAGTTCAAGACCAACCTGAGCAAGAGTGAGACCCCATCACTACAAAAATAGAAAAAAATGATCTGAGCATGGTGGCGTGAGCCTATAGTCCCAGCTACTTGGGATGCTGAGGCAGGAGGATCACATGAGCTAAGACATCCCACTGTACTATACCCAGGGTGACAGAGACAGACTCTGTCTCAAAAATAAAAAAGATGAGCCTGACACCTCTTCTCCCACCTTCTTGCTTCCTTTCTTGTCATGCAGTCTCTACACACAGCAGTCCCCCTTTGCCTTCTGTCAGAGTGGAAACAGCACGAGACACTCACCAGATGTCCAATCTTTTTTTTTTTTTTGAGACAGAGTCTCACTCTGTCACCCTGTGTAGAGTGCCACAGAACCCTCAAACTCTTGAGCTCAAGAGAACCTCTTGCCTCAGCCTCCCAAGTAGCTGGGACTACAGCCACTTGCCATGATGCCTGGCTAGTTTTTCTTTTCTCTTTTCTGTTTTTAGCAGAGATAGGATTTTGCTCTTTCTCAGGCTAGTCTCAAACTCCTGGGCAATCCACCCATCTTAGCCTCCCCGAGTGCTAGGATAATTGGTGTGAGTCACCATCCATGGCCCCAGATTCCAATCTTGATCCTACCAGCCAGCAGAATTATGAGCCAATTAAACCTTTTTTCTTTATAAATTGCCCAGCCTCAAGTATCCCTTTTTTTTTTCTTTTTTTTTTGAGACAGAGTCTCAAACTGTCCTCCTAGAGTGC